GGGAGTGTCAGCACCCGGCTTTAGTCTGCCCTGTGTGGCTGCTACCCTTCGTCTCGGGCACCTTCCGTTTGAAACATGTCAATCTCGTCCGAGAGTTTGCTAAGGGTGCGAAGCCTAGGCAGAACTGGGCTGGGGGAGGACCCCGCAGTCAACAGTGAGTCGGTCCACCAGAGACTGGTCCCCAGCAGCTGGAAAGGCTAAAGTCATCCTTAGAGTGCCTCCGCGTCTTCTTTCCGTGGACCTCGTGAACCCACACGCAGCACTCAGCCGAGGTCAGACCAGCTCTGGGCGGCAGGCACAAGGCTGCCCAGACACTCACCCCCAAGGCTGGGCAGGTGAATCCTGGAGTCGGCCAGAGGGTTGGGAGGGAAGGGCAAGGGGAGCTGGGGCTCTGGAGAGCTGCAGGACAGCGGCCGTGGAGCCCAGGGAAAAGCTCTTCCTCTCTGAATTCCTGAGAAGTTTTTGGAATCAGGTCTTTAGTTTCATCCCCAGCACCTCTGAACATGTTTTAAATGAACACTAAAAACTGTAAGTTCCAGGTATGTCACACCCGACACATCTGCCGTCCCAACCCGAGGTGGATGCAGGAGGATGAGGAGCTGAAGGTCAGCCTCAGCTCAGGAGACCCTACCTCAAAATACAAACCCCCAACAGCCAGGCACTTACATGGATCATTACCCACTTCGGCCATGGCAGGTGTGTGAGGTCACAGGTTTGGGGACGGGGCAGTCTAAATGGTGGCCTTATTCCCAGAGGCAAGAAGAAACACAGGCCAGTGAGTGCTACAGGACAGACAGCCTGCAGGGCCTAGCTCTCCTGCCGGCCCCTCCCCCATCAGCTCGGGGCTCAGCTGTAAGGTGTGCAGAGCTGGCATCCACTGCTGTTGTGAAGCACAGTACTGCCTTGGACCAGTCTTCCTGCTCCCCAGACACAGGGACCCTGTTCAGGTGACCACAACCTCTGCCTGGGTCAAACCTCAACATCCGCCCACCCACCCGACCTCCCCCAAGACCAGGACTGCCAAGGTCCCCACCTCTTCCTTATAGAACCAATGCCTCATACAATCAAGACCAACACCCACCAAATAAGTGACCCCAGAATCCACACGACCCCAAAAGGACCCAATTTCAGGCAGAAAATCAGCACAAAATTAAAGCACAAAGTAGGGCTGGCACAGTCCTCTGTGCGCGGCTGCGCGGGCGCGGCCTGGGGTCCGCAGGCCTCCTGGGGCAGCTGTTGTGCTGAGCCTGGCTCTACTGTGACTCACAGCCTCCCTGGTCCAGCCTCAGCAGAAGGAGGCTCCGGAAGCAGTGGGGTGCGGGGTGAGGCTTTATTTCATTCACTGTGGGGGTGGGGCCTGGACAGGAGGGCAGATGGGCAGGACTAGTAGTAAGGGCCGCCCCAGGCCTGCTAAGAGGGGGAAACCCAGGCCTGACCCCCCCAGGGCAGGGCTGTGGGACAGACAACTGGGTCTGGAGGACCAGGGCCCCTCCCTCTGGGCTGCACCCCACACCCCCTTCAGGGCCTTAGTCCTTCCTGCTTGTTGGGGTGCGTGACCCTCAACCTTGCCCCCCAACCCAGAGGAGGCGGTTTGGCCAGGGAGGGCAGTGGACAGGGAGCCTGGGGGAGTTGGGGAGCTCAGGTCGGGGTCCAGGTGCGCAGAAGGCAGTCAGTTCCTGGCAGCAATGACCACAGAGAGAGCCACGCCCCCCAAGGCCACAGCAGTCGCCCCAAACAGCCACTTCCATGGGATGGACTGTGGATAAAGGGGGGGGTAAAGCTGGCTGCACCGCGATCCACACAGGCCTCCCGGCCAGGGTCTGACCACACCGAAGATTCTCCTACACACCCCCAGACCCCAACCAAAGCCCACTCCTGCACAGCATTTCCTTCCTCGGAGCCTCTAACCCTCACCATGAGCCCTGCAGCTTCAGGGTCCCCACTTCCGCCCCCAGAAGCCTGTGTCCCAGCGCTGCCCCAGCCCAGCCCCACCCAGGCTCACCCAGGCCCCCTTGCCCGGACACTTGGCAGGCAGCCGGCTGGGGTTGCCCAGCATCTTTCGGTACAGGGCAGTCTCTGTGCTCCTCTGTGCAGCACGCTTCTTTACCAGCTTTGAGAGCTCCGCGTGGATCGTCTGTGGAAGGTGGGTGGGAGTGGGTGAACACGTGCGGGAGGCAGCAGACCTGCCTGTCATCACTACTGTTCCCTTCTGGTTCCCAGGTTTGTCAGGTGTGGGGCCCGGGACTCGGGAGTTCTACCCACTGCCATAGCTCTAACAAAATGGGAGCTGCTGCCCCACCCACACAAGCCAGAAGATAAGAATGGCAACAACTAGAGGCAGACAACTAGGAGGACTTACCAGACAAGCCCAGCAGAGTTCTGCTTACCTTGTTGGAAGGCTCCAGCTTCAGGGCAGCCCTCAGGATGGGGATGGCCTCGCTATATTCGCCTTGCTGAGCCAGCACCTATGGGAGAAGGACACCTACTCCGCGTCCACCCGGAGCTCCGCTCTCCCCAGCCTGGCCTGGTGCGGAGGGTGCGGAGGCTGATCAAGGTGAGGCACACCCTGGCGCTGGCATCACCGCTGGGCTGGGGCAGGGGACTTGGGGACAGGCACCCTCAGAGCAGGGCCTTGGGTCACTCAGTACCGCACAGCCCCATGCACCCCACTGGATCTGACTGCAGCTCCCGATGGAGCAGTCCCAATAACCAGCCACCTTTCTGGATTTCTGCTGCGGTCCAGATGGCTGGATCTTGTGACAATCCTCCTGCCTCAGTCTCCTGACTACTGGCCTTTGCTGCCATGCCTGGCTACAATCCTTCCTGAGGCTCTGGCTGTGGGTGGGTTTCTCTCTGGCCCCAGATCCACGGGGCCTGGTGTCTACACTCAGGCTCCTAGAAGACAACTGGGCAGTTTCTCAGACACCCAACGTGGCTGCCTCACCTTCCTGTGGGAGGCCCTGGGTTGTATCCTCAACACCATCACAGAACAGAACCAGCTGCACTGGGACCCAAACAACCCAGGCAGAGGGGCAGCCTGTGCTGAGCTGGCCTGAAATTAGTGGGGAGGAGGGGCTGAGTCCCCGTCACCAGCCCAGCCTGGAGAGAAGAACCACATTGGCCACACTGGCTACAGTGCCATCTGTGGTGTCTGGACAGAGAAACAGCTCCCGGGGAAAGCCTCAGGGCTCAGGGCGCCAAGGCCCCCAGGAAGCCCGTCTTCCCTCTGGGGAGCCGGCGGTCACAGAGCATCACACACACTATGGGCCGGCACAGGCCGCAGCACACCTTGCCTTTACGGAACAGCGCCTTGATGTTGTCCGGCTGGTGCTCCAGCACCTGGCTGCAGGAGCGCAGCGCTGCGCGGTAGTGGTCCAGCTTCAGCTGCGACGCCGCAAGGTTGTTCAGACACTTGACCTTCAGCTGCAGCAGCTGCTCCTCTTCCTCACAGGTCATGTCCACTGCAGGGGAGTGGTCACGCTGAGGGAGCCCCGCCCTCCTCCCCTGGGGTCTACACCACCAGAGCCCTGAGCAGGCCACCCGAGTCCTTACACCACAGACAGGGTCTCAAGTGGTTCAGGACTGCTTCCAACTCACTCTGCCGTCCACCGTGACGCTGAGCTGACACAACATGCCACTGAGGCTGTGTGTAAGCATGAAGGTACCGTCCCAGGGCTTACTAATGAGCCAAGTGAATATGCATGTCTGTAATCAGCACGAGCAGAGGCAGGATGACTGTCTCTCTCACCGAGGTCCATGTTCAATGACAGACTGTCAGAAAAGGTGGGCAGGGGCAGCCCCAGGGGTCCACCTCTGACCTGAATTGTAAGTGCGCGCGCGCGCGCGCGCGCGCACACACACACACACACACACATACACGCACACGCGCGTCCCAAAGGCAGGGTCCTGCTACGTAGTGTACAAATTGTCATCCTCCTGCCTTAGCTTCTGATCATGTCTACCACCACTGTGTCTGGTCACCATAAGCCTGCAAGGAGCCACTGACCTGAAGGCTAGGGATGACAGGGAATCTGTCTATATTCTGGAATGTTCTAGAACGTTCTATGCCCCAATGACAGTGCAGAAGTCTGGCCACCCTATGGGCTGGCCAGATGGCTCAGCTGGTAAAGGTGCTGCTGGCTGCAAAGCTTCAGGAACAGAGTTTGAGTCCCTACCACATGGTGGAAGAACACAGCTGCCTCCCTAAGTTATCCTGACTTCCACATGCACACACACATCCCAGCTGGCCGGTCGGTCACCTTTGGCGCTGGAGGTGATGGCCTTGATGGCCAGGTCATAGGAGTTGGCAGCCAGCACAAAGTCAGCACGCTGGTAGTGGGCATTGCCACACTCCCGCTTGCGGTTGGCCAGAGCCACACGCTCCTGCCCACTCAGCATCTCCAGGTCGGGTCCATCCTCTGCCGTCTTCAGGGTGACTTCCAGGCACAGGGCTGCGTGGGGGGGGATGTACGGGCTCCTGCTGGGGAGGTGACCAATGGGAGACACTCAGACCTGACAACCAGGCTGCACCCACCACCGCACCCTCCCTGGCAGGAAGGCCAGGACTCGGGTCCCTGGGGTGCCCCATGTCAATTACCCATAGCAATCTGATACAAGACACTTGGGCCTTGTGACTTGGCCAGCCCAAACCTCGGTCTCCCTTTCTATGAAATGGGAAGGATGGTAGGGACGGTTGCATGTGCAGCCCACCTCTCACCTGCCTTGGGGACCGTAGCAGTACTTGGAGTCAGCGGTGACCATGGCTGTCTCGCCCACATCCATGAGCGGGACACTGAGGTCCAGGGCCTAGAGGACAGGTCAGTGAGTGTCAACATGAACCCAGGTCCTGTGAGGTGCTGCCCACCTGCCCACCCAGCTCCCACCTGGATGACATCGCAGTCTCCCAGCGTGAAGGCCAGTTCAGGCTCTTCCTGTACGCGGGTGCCGTTCTCCAGGGACACGTGCAGGTGCACGGTCACCACCTGGCCCTTGAGGGGGCGGCCAGAGCCTGGCGGGCCGGGGACCAGCGTCTTCTTCCGCAGCAATCCATTCCCTGCAGGGGCCGGGATGTGAGCCTGTGATCTGGTGGCCAGACATGGGTCTGCTCTATCAGGCCACCCTCCAGGAGCAGCCACCTCCCATGCTGCCGCTGTTTTAGTGACGGGGTAGAACCAAGACCTTGTACAATTTACACCGCGCTCTCACTACGCTGTGCCCGGACAGGACAGCATTAGGGATGCCTGGCCAACATGGCTGTGCAGGGTTTTATTTTTAAGACCTGTTTTGTTAATTTCATGTGTACGGGCATTTGTCTGCATTTACGTTTGTGCACTACATGAGCACAGTGCTGGCAGAGTGAGGGGTGTCAGATCCCCAAAATTGGATCTTCCATGTGGGTGCTGGGAATTGACCTAGGGTCCTCCAGAAGAGAGGCCAGTGCTCTTCATCACTGAATCATCTCTCTAGCTCCTGCTGGTCTGCATTTTAAGAACTCCTTCCTTGACTCCTACAGCAAGGGGCTGGGTGTAAACCCCAGGGGCAGAGTCTTTGCCGGGCATGCAGGGGGCTCTGGGTTCCATTCCCTAGCACCACTCATACAGTTAAAAAAAAAAAGTCCTCCTCAAAACAGAATTCCTGATGGCACTCTCCTGAGACGACACTTTAGGAGAGAAAAATAAACGCTATGAAGCCAGTGAAGGTGGAACAGAACCGGACACCTCTGCTGAGCGGTGGCACAGTTTTCAGAACCTGTCACATGTCTAGACAAATGCTTAGGAAAGATGCAGTGGGAGTTGATTTGGAGCTGCTGGCACCCAGTGCAAAGGCTGTGTGGCTCCAGGAAGGTGACTCAGCCCCTCTGAGCCGCTGTTACCAGCAGTGGAGGTAAAAAGCAACCTGTTACAAATTGTGTGTGCATGCCAAAGTGTGAGCCAATGAACAGAGTTCAGAAGCACGTCTGTCTCAAGCAGTCTGGGAAGCCAGCCACAAAGCACAGGCCTGTGAGACCAGCACTGAAAAGGCCGAGACAGTGAGACAGGAGGATCCAAAGATCAAGGCCAGCCTGGGCTCCACAGTAAGCTCATTTCAAAATAAATAAATAAAAACCAGCCAGTGATGTCCTAATGTTACTTCGAGCCCACAGAGAAGGGGAAATGAAGCTCAGGAGAGAGAAGTCCCTGGGTCACACTTACCCAGGATGTCCAGCCACTCTTCGGGGGCTGGGGCTGGGGCTGGCTCAGGTTCGGTGGCGGCCAGGAACTCCCGAGCCAGGGCTCCTGGCTGCTCAGCCTCCTCCACTGTCAGCTGCCCCATATCCTCCAGTGGTGGCAGCCCACTCAGGTCATCTTCCTCCTCTTCCTCTTCTTCCTCCTCCTCCCCCTCTGCATCTTCTACCCCATCAAGCACCTCAAAGTCCTCCAGTGGTGGGACCCCCGCAGGCGGCCGGGCAGCGGGCTCAGAGGGCTCGGCCCAGGACGCCATGCTGCTGGGGGATCAGGAACTAACCCTAGGGGACAGATGGCCAAGCGCTACGGTGACAACCCCATCCAGGCAGCCCCTTCAATTCCCTCAGCTCCAATTCCCTACAGCTGGGATCCCTCATTCGTCTCAGCAACACCAGGCTTGCATTCATCATCTATACATTGGGCGTCCGACCAACCTGACTTGTTGAAAGAACAAACCTAGACCTCAAGTTCTGAGCCACAGGCTGCAGCTGGGTTAGCTGTTATTAAAACTAATTACCACGTAATCTTTATAAACACCCCCAAAGTAGGGAAACCCTAGCTTACACGAAAACGGACTGAACAGGCCCAGAGAGGCAAAGCCACTTGGTCAAGGTCACACAGCAAGCTTACAGTGGGGCCAAGACTGAAAAGTACGGTTACTGGACTAACAAGAGAAAAGCTGCTAAGGTTACTGGGGCGGTGGGGATATTCCCCGAGGCCTTGGAAGAGCCGTTTTGATAGCTTCTGGGTCACTTGAGAGGTGAATCTTTTAGAGGTTCTTGCCTCTGGCTACCTTGTCTGCTAAAGGCTCCAATCCAGCACGAAAGGCTCAGTGCCAGACACTGGATGTCTCTTGCTCTGTACCCTGAAGATACCGAGGTCTCCCAACATGAAGGACCCTGGCTCCAACCTGCCTCTGTCATCAAGCCTGTTTGCAGCCTGATGTCGGCACCGGGGAGGTAGGTCGGCCGATAGGGCACTTGGTCTTCCAAGCACACAACCCGGGGTTCCACCCCAGCACCACAGAAGCCAGGCACCAGCCAAGGCCTGTCATCCCAGCGCTTGGGAGGCGGAGGCAGGGTGACGAGGAACTCGGGGCCATGAAATGCATGGACTGCGTGAAACCCCATCTCACGAAATCCGAGCCGTACGCTAGGGCTCTAAGTCGTTGGCCCCCGGCAGGCAGGCTGCTGGCTCTGCACCCCACGCCCCTGGTGTGGCAGTGCGCGCCTGTCACCCCGGCTCTGGGGGTGCGGGCAGAGGGCCTGAGTTCAAGGCCAGCCTGAGCTACCCAGGCACTCGGGAGACCAGCGCGGAACGCATCGGACTAACACAAGCCCGAGTAGCGGGGACCCCGGGCGGAAGCCCGCAGCGTCTCCCCGGCCCCAGGCCCCGGCGCGGAGCCCCCCACCCGGCCGCAGCGCCCCACGTCCTCGGGCCTTCTCCGGGG